TCATACCATTTGAATTTCATATTAAGAAATTATTTTAACCCAAAAAGCAAATCATGCTCCCTTCGAACTGGTTGTCTTTAAAATACAAATCTTGTGTAATCCCAGGCTATCTGTAATCGGAAGCACATTTAAAACTGGAATATAATTTAATTTCATTCACATGTGTTTCATAAACTTCTTTCTGGATTACAATCCGCCGTCAAAATGATGTTTAATTATTCCAGCTGCTGTGAGAAAAGGCTATAAACGATCGGCCGCCAGCAGGATCCTCACATGTGATAGCCTAGTAGCCGGGACTTCTTTATGTTTACAGACATGACGTAATGATGCAGCGGCATGCTCGAATTTCCCATGAAAACCTACCTGTACCACTCAAACTAGAAAACATTGTTATAAGCTAATCGTTATAGTTTCACGATAGTTTCAAACACTGGCTGGTTATGTACTTGCTCAAATATTGATTTCGGATCATTTTTCACCAAAAACAGTTACGAACTGCAGCTTTAAATATGTTCAGTTATCTAATGTTTTGAAAAAAACTATAAATGCAGCATAAACTGATTCTAAACAAAACCCACTTGATTTGTGTGACATATTAGCAGTCATCAGAAGCTGTTATAGCTCTGTTTACACAGGTCTGAGGTCACTGACGTCAAACCTCATTGGGTCTTGTGTGTCTAATTTTGACACTGCAACAGTTAAATGTCTTTGAGTGAGGTGTTACTGACTTTATGGGATCAGGAGAAGACTTACAAACACTTCAGAGAACACTACACATCTCCATCAAGTCGTCTCCTTTAAAGGCACCTATTATGCTAAATTCACTTTTACTTATTGTTTGAACATAAATGTGTGTTGGTGGTGTGTGTACACAACCACCCTACAATAGTATACATACTTTAATACTTAGACTTTTTAGAGGGCATTTATTTTCAAACTTTATTACATTTTAAACTGGACTACAACATGCCCTATAGATACTGTTTGAAAATGTTTTGATTTTTTATTGTTTGGTCACACTTTACATTAATGCTCCATTAGTTAACATTAGTTAATTCATTAGATAACAAACTGCCAATGAAAAATTCTTCTAAACATTCATTAATCATTTTAATATTTAATAACGCTGTTAAAATCAAAACTGTATTATTTAATGAACCCAAGCTAACATTTTTAACAAAGAATAATAACTTCTGTAGCAAATGTAGATATTGCTTATTGTTAATGTTAATGCATTAACTAAGGTTAACTAATGAGATTTTATTGTAAAGTGTTACCTATTGTTCTTTATAGTTCTTTTGCACTTTAATGTCTGAAACCTTTGTTTACTTTATACATTTTTTGTGCATTGCTTTATTTTATTTAAATGTTCAGACCTTTGTGTTATTGGAAAAGTTATTAAACCTGTTATACTGTATCATGACAAGGCTTTTTGCAACTAGATTTCAATATTGTGATAATACCGTACTGTGATAAAAGCTTTAGCAAGTATCGCAACATGAAAATTTGATACCATCACATGCCTAATTTACATATTAATATATATATATATAATGGTTAAGTACTTGTGAATATAGACTAGTCACTACTGAAATAAGTACTAGTAATTTTTTTAAGTTCTAAGGAAAAAAAATTCTTTTCAGTTTTGTATGTAATTTGTAAGTTAATTTAGAAAAACGTTTGGAACATTTTTTTGTTCGTTAAATGTAAGTTTTTGTTTTGTAAGTTTAGCCTTCTCAAATCATCACGACTTGCCTAAAATAAAATCTATAGATATAAAACAGTTCAAGCATATAACAATGTTAGTTTAAATGTTTAAACTATATAAATGTGCGCTATTAGACGTTATCTAATCGTTTGTGCGGAGAGCTAAAGCGCGCTTTACAGGACGCCGGCGCGATCACTTGGATTGGAAACAACTTAAAATATGCCATCATTTTTGCTCATAAAGGTAAGAGTAATATATCACTCGGAACTGTAAAGGGTCTACTTTAAAAAACTACTAAAAATGCATTTCTCTCTAAAGGCGTGTCCAATGAGGAGATGGCGAGTCAGGATCATCATCTTCATCTTTGCGACACTGCGACACTGACTAAAAACACTAATTTATTAATAAATAATTCAAATATCTCCTTACTATTTCCCCCGACACATTCATGGTAGGCTTATTACTTTTGCTGGGGCTTTGCGGCACGCTTTAGCGTATTGCGTGCGTTTTTTGCACTGCACATGACCAATTGGCTCACTGTTTGCCGGGGTAATCAAATCAAAACTCTTCCAAAATGCAGCTTTTCCCGAAGCTTTGGGAACTTTTAGTAACTCCCCACTTCTCCCTGATGCTGTGCATGGTCAGCTGTCACCTGTAGCT